TAAGCACAATTCACCTCCCAGCCACTTTCAACGAGCTTCTGTCTCTCTCTCTCTCTCTCTGTGTCTGTCTGAAAACCAGACAGCCCGTCCTCGATCTGTTCCAGACTTGCCCCTGATCTCTCTCGGCCCCGAGCGCCTCGCATCATCGCCTGCTCCAGGTCTTGCAAGCTCTCATTGATCGCCTGCACGACCGGTGAGGCCGCCATTTGTTCCACGGCTCCGAACAGAAGAGCTGCCAGACTGCCCGACATGGACGACTGGGTTTGGGGTCCTGGTCAAGGATTTGGATCGGAACGACTAAGGTGGAAAAGGGCTCCAGATCTTCGGCTCAGCCCGTCAGAAGTGAGACTCGCACCTGCGTCCACTGGCTGAGGCTCTCAGAGTCGAGCCTGGGGCAGTTGCTTCCATGCGACCGGTGCGACCGGGCAGACGACATCGCCAGGGTGATGGTCGCAGCGTGTGATGGTTTCTTGCACCTGCGGCATGAAACCTCACCCACCCCGATGTTCCAACACACCAAGCTCGTGCGCTGGAGCTTGGTGGCTTGCTTTGTGGGCTTCTCTCTTGCCCTCTGGCTTGCGGCAGATGGTCTGCAGCACAGCCCAGCACCCAGCCACCACCCAGCCACCACGCCCATGTCCGCCCCAGTGTCCACCACTCTGGGAGCATTCGCGGGTCGAAGTAGACCATCGGCCGGTGCGCTGCCTCAGCAGTCGGCTGTCTGGCGGTCCGTCCCCCTCTCTCGGTGGGTTGAACCGGACAGCCTCAAACAACGACGACCCGTGGACCAGGGCCCCCTACAAGGGGTGTCATAGCCCCTTAGAGGCTAAGGGATGACCATTCACCACCCCAAACAAGGGCCCCCGGTATAGGTTGAGCGCGGATTGATCCAAAGAGACACACTTCGCCATGAAACCTTCATCTCACCGGATGGAAGTCGTGAAATTGGAACTCGCAACATGAGGTCTTGAGGTCTTGAGGACTTAAGACCAACAAGATCCTCTCAATCTGATCTTTGGTGCTGCCAAACAGCCTCCGGCTCGAGATCCAAGACGAAGCCATTCGGCCGCTCAGCACCTGGTGTTCCACCAGGGAGTGGGCTTTTCCGTATGTAAGCATGCGGGGTGCGCAGAGCGAATCACTTTCAGAGAAACCGATCTTCTGTTCAGTTCAGGATCCCCAGTCGTGGCTTGGATCTCTAGAACCAAGAACGCACAAACAGCAAACACCTCTTCCAGGGGTCACAGAACTCGGGGTGGTTTTTAGTTCCATCCAGTGAGTGGATGTGACAGGGGCACCGCAGCCCGACTTCCTCCAAGTGCGGCACCCCCGACTTGGACTCCTGGTGATATACCCTAGGGATCCAGTCGCACCTTCTGAGGTTCGGTACGAGTGGGATCCCTACGAAGCAAGGTGCCTTACAACTCTAGTAACAAGAAGCTACTAGTAACAAGGGCATCGCTACTAGTAACAAGGTGCGCACCTTACTACTGTATTTCACTCCTTTGGGCAAAGGCACGGTGAAGCTCGGAGTCGCCCAGCGGCGCCACCTGCGGAGGTCAGAGACTGGGAGGTCGGAGGCAGCGGAGGCTGGGTTGGATCTGGGGGGGCGGGGCAGTAACTTTCTATCACGAGCGGATACCTTCAAAAGGATTAACTCGAGTAGTAGTGGCCGAAGGTGAGCCGAGTATTATCATTGTTGTTGCATTAACTTGAGTCAGTCTACCTTTTAAAATCATGGAAAACATCAAGCCCAGCCACTGGGCTAGGTCCTTCGTGCTGGCTGGGTCATGCTGGGTCATACTCTAAGGAGGACTGAACTTTTTGCTCACCGCAAATCCGAGCGAAAGCGACCAGGAAATCATGACACTCTTTGATTCCAGGTGTTTTTCATTCCACTTAGCGGTTTTGACTGTCGATGAGATCCAGATAGGCCTTGAAGGCCTTCATCGAGCTCTGTGGTCTTAACCTCGTCATGGCCTTCCTCTCTTGGCAGTCCTCACCAAATGAGGCACGAAGTTGGCCCGGTCGGTCCTGCCTGGCGATGGCCTGAAGAAAGCTTCGAATTCTAGGGGGCACATGATAAACTGATAAACCTGTCTTAGTCCCATTCATCATCTGTGCTTGGCTCTGTTCAAACCACGTCGATTGCCAGAAGATCGTCTCAAAATATGGGACCCTGGATGCCTGCAAACTAGCTCAGGGGCAGATGAAAACCCATTCATGTGAGGCTCTCTGATTTTGATCACCTATATAAACTCGGCCTGATCAACCAAACTCGGCCTGTTCTACAAGGAAACTCCGACAGTGTCAATGACCCCATGCCTCACACGGACTCTTGGATTTACTTAGAATTTACTCCCCCACATGAAGACATTCCGCACTCCAAATGGCCTCATGTAGAATGTTGATTGAACAAAGTGAACAAACCGTCTGGGTGTTGCTTAAGACATAAATCCAAGAGTCTAGATTCTACATGAAGCGCCGGGTCAACCTCTCCTGACCAAGGTAGGTCTCCAGCTTTCCCTCGTGGAGCACCACCCAGCGTCGTTGCCTCGGCCGAACCGGGCGGACCCGGGCGGACCGGGACGGGCTCGCCCAGACGTCGGAGCACCATGACCGACCTCGGCAACCTCCCCTCTTGGCTTCACGAAGTGATCTGTTTACTATTGGAGGTCATGCCTTGGACCCCAAAGCGAATCCATAGAATCAATGATGGTCGTCAGGGGCCAATCCGTTGGCGCCCCCAAACGCCGGACCCCAAACGAAACGTCGGGGTCGATTGGACGACCCCAGGTGGTGCGACTCCAGGAGACGTCCTCATTCCAGTGATTAATAGCCTCTCTAGTCGAACTCTGGATCCCACCCTTGAGAAGCAGTAGGATTCATGAAGACAATCACCAGGTGATTGGACAACTACGGCATCCAGGTGATGGTGATCCTTGATGCCCAGTGATGCGACCACGGCGACGACTCCACGGCGATGGCGACCGCGACTCCACGGGCCCATGAGCGGCGGTCGACCACGGATCTCCCCAATCCCAGGGCTGGTGCCACGCGAAATCAATGGTCGGGCCCCGCCTAACCGCGAACCACCGAGTTTCCGCGGTTTCACGCGGTCGAGGCATGGATGGATGGACGGACGGCCGGACGGATGGATGTTGGCAATATGCAGTCATCCTCAAGTGGCAGTTGTAAAAAGAAAGAACTGGAGCAGTCTAAAACTTCACAAGGAGCCTCTTCATGTAGCCCTGTTGGAATTGAAAGAATCCATCATCCAACTACTTCAGAATGAAGATTGTAAGTATGCCGTAATGCCAGTACGCAAACCATTGTGAAAGCCAAACAACAATTTTGAGTGCGTTGTGGTGGTGCAAGCATGCTAGGATTGCAAAGAAGGCATGTCTAGCATCTTCAAAAGACCGAAGATACCTGTACATCTGCAATTGAGCCTGTTTGGCATGAAACGTGGAGAAAAACGATGAGCGCTGCACTCTGGATGACTCTGATAGCTGATAGCGCACTGTCTGCCGCGGATGCTACGGAACTCTTCGACGGTTGCGGCGCCGGAGATGTCTAAACCCCAAAGAAAATGCAAATTTCAAATTACCCAGTACAAGAGAAAGAAGCAACTATAGACTATAGACATTGACGCTTTGTATGCGGAAGATTATCTTCTTGATTTCTACTGTGGGACCATTTCTTCTTACTGCCTGTCACTGACTATACATGGTGGTTCTGATGATTGAAAGTGGTGCACTGGTAGAACACTAACCAAGCCACCGGTGGAAACCCTTGACGTCCGAGCCCCCACCAACCCTCTCCGCCTGTCCATCCATCCTGCCATGGACTCGGCCACCTGATGTTGGGGTAACTTGCCAGCACAGGCAGTGCGCAGGCTGTCTGGGTGGTGAATCCCTATATCGAAACTAATTACATGTCCCACCCCTGGTCACTCCTGATGTGCTGGTGAATAAGCACCCACCCCACCTCCAGCAGACACTCCTTTCAGCCCCTGACGAGGGAAGAAGAAGAAGAAGAGGAAGAAGAAAACAAAGAGCTCACCGTCCTCCTCTTTGTTTGGATGTTTCCTTCCTGATAGTTGTGACAGGTGTGTCATTTGGGGCACCACTCGTCGCCCGATCTCCCGGCCTTCGACGCCCGGACACCCGGACAGGAAATGGGAGGTCGTCCAGCTTCGTACGGTCCAGCGTTTTCAGGAGTAGGTAGATGGCATCATCCCTATGCAGGTGAAGAAAAAACGGACTCCCATGTCAAAGACATCTTTGGGTGCCAGTGCCCGGATCAGACCCACAAAACCCTCCAGGACTGGAGATGTAAAGCATGGTCAAACCGGTAAAGAAACCCAACCTGCTCGGATTCCTCACGTAGTGAAGCCCTGTTTGTTGGGTAGGAGGGGAAGGTCAAGAAGACCATCAATCAGTGTCATTCTGCTAGGTCTTGGTTCTTCGTCAACAGTCCACATTCGCCAGACCGTGGCCGTTACAGAACTTTTTGGCACGGGGATTCGCACATCCGTGTGCCTCTTGCTAGTCACCTTGACATGGAAGCCGGAAAGAAACACGGGCCCCTGGAAGAAGCAGGTTCGAAGAAGCAGGTTCCTTGACCAACGGGTGGTGTTCCACTTGGTCACACGTATTCGTCGGAGGGTTTGGCTTCTTTTCGCTCGATGAAGCGTCAGAGGACTTCTCCTCTGAGCCTGCAGGTCTTCTGCGATCCACGAAGGCGGATCACGGGCATCTACCCAGGGCCGAAGATTGGCGGGACGCATTCTTCTTTGTGGTGAGACTGGCAGGCAAGCCTCATCTCATCTCCCCCGAATGTGTGCATACATATTGGTATATTGAATGATTGGATGTTCCATGATATTCGTTTGGTTTCCACAACTCAACGTTGAGCTTGTCCTACTTCCCCCATATCATGTCGTTCTTCCACCCTCCTTTGAGGCTGCTGCTATTTCATCGATCTCTGCTCGTTGCCTACAGCTCCTCCTTGGCAGCAGCTTCCAGCTTGGGGATGATCTGCTTCTTGCGCGAGAGGACCTTTGGAAGGACCACCAGACCCTGATCATCCACCTTCACCTTCCAGGCTTTCCTCACAGCGGTGTCCACGCCAAACAGCAGTGCTTGTTTGTCCACGAACGGCGAGGCGATCGACTCGTTCAATTCCTTGGGTAGTAACGCTTCGCGTCCGAATTGGAGCTGGAGCGGCCTCGACGGATTAGGCGAAGGAACCATCTCTAGATCGTCACACATGGCTAAGTAGTGTGTATCTCAGGGAGCCTGGGCTCTTCGTATTTACCATTATTTACTCTTTTTGGGGCTGGTCCTCAGGCTAATTGGATAGACCTCCGATAACTCGATCCTTGTCCATGGCACGCGATCCATGGCCCTGCGATCGACTGGAACGACCCCGGTCACACGTCAGGGGGCTCCACTAACGTCGTCGCAGTGGAGGAGGAGGAGATGAAGGTCGCTGACTCCTTGAGGATGTCAACCACGAAGAAGAGCACGTCGTCGATCTTCTCCTCACCGGAATGTCAAGTGAGGAGCAGTGCTTTCGTGACTTTTCATGACCTGTAATTTGGTCATGCAGCTTCAAATGGTCATGTAAGTGCTGCTGCAAGTGACATAACCAACTTCAAACGTAGATATTAAAGTTTATCTACTCTGCATACTAGTAATTATACTGAACTATATCAATGGTACAGGGTACAGTACAACAACCGCGACTAGGAGAGCCCAGGATCTCTGCCCAGTCTGCTCGCGGGTGTCCAGCTGCGCACGCGGCTGATCCCGCCTTCTCCTTCAGTTCCTTCATGGCCGTCACCAGCTCCGCCTTCTTCGCCAAGGGGCCTGGTTGACCCAACTGGGTGGGATTTTAAGGAGTCCAGGTGTGGAGATGCTTCCCAACTCAGCCAGTGGTCAGTTCGCTCCACTCCACACATTTCCCGAACGAAGACGACGTCGTCGTCCCTGCCTGCCGCCTTGGTGGTCTCGAGCACGGAGACTCTCAACTTCTTCCCGCCGATGTTGAAAATCTTGGTGTCCATCATGATGAGCTCGCTGCAGCTGAGGTGGTCCACCTGCATCTAAAATCCGTCTTGCATCGGTCGTTGGCGCGACGGTCGCCGCAAGCTTGGTCCAGCGACGCAGGTCCAGTGCTGCAGTGAACTTGAAAGACTGAAAACTTAAGTGTTGTATGTGTATGTATATATATATGTGTGTGTGTGTGTTTACGTATATATGTATATGTAACATAATATCAATCTGATACAATGTGGTAATTTATGTAATATATATACATATATGAATATGTAAATATACAAATCTAAACATATATGTGTACATATTATCATCCAATACTATCCAATACTACTATCATCCACTATCTGTGGTGCCACCAAAGGCAAGGAAAATCCTTGGACTTTGAGGGTGCGTAGACCCACTCCTTCCGAGGATTTGAGTGCTTACTGATGCTTACTGGGCTGTGTATGGCTGTGTCTCATCTCCGAAGTCCCATCATTGTGAGACCAGTCGTTTCGCACCTTCGCCTTCGCATCCAGCATCCCTTCCGCAAACTCGTGCACATCAAGCCCTGCACCGGCTTCAACCGCCACGAAGAGAGGTGGTGAGTCTTTGGTGAAACTAAGGCCGGACTGAAGAACATGAGAGAAGCTTATGATGAATCACAGGTCGGGCAATATAATTGTTGCAACAAGCAGCTAGCAACGCTTCTGGTTATAGCATTGGCAGCATTGCCTCTGCTTCCGGTAAAGCCGGATTGATGTCACAAGCCTTGAACGACAAACAACTTGCACTCCATCCAGTCCAGAAGACACCGTCATGAAACCTGATGAAACATTCTCATCATTCTGAGTTTCTGGACGCACATCAGCGCCAGCCCCCCCAAAAAGCCCCATCCAACCCCAACCAAAAGCCTGCGCTTGGCGCGCAGGCGTTGTTGGTGGTCAGTGCTCGGCCTGCCAGCTTCCCGAGCTCTGCCGCGTGCACTTTGTCCAGCTCAGTGGTGGTGGGCGAGCGGAACTCCAACGAGTCGGACAAGATGCCTCGCACGACGCGGGGTCCGAGGGGCGGAAGCCCGGGACAGCGCGGAGACTGGAAGGTCCGGAAAAACCGGGCGGAGACCGCTGACCGAGCTCCGGTTCTGAGCAGTTGGGACTTTGCGTGAACGGTGGCAATCCAGTCAGCAGTTGAATGTTCAGATTCCCTCTCTCTCTCTTCCACACTCAGGAGGAGCCCAACGAATCATGCGAGTTCAACCGCCCAGCGACCCCCCCAGCGGCCCCTAACCGCATCCGCGTCGCCTGAGAGCATCAATCCAGCCATCTGCTTGGTGGGCGTCAAGCCATACAGCTTCGAGCGCGAGTACAAAATGCTGGTGGCCGAACCTAGGAGGATGATCCCAGGAGCACCAGGATAAGCTGCGAAGGTTTTAATCGATCAGAGCCCACGCTGCTATTTTGTTAGAGCTGCCCGGAAAATAGCCTCACAAGCCTCGCCATTCTTCAACATTGGCCCTTTTGCAGCACACTTTGACTAACTTGTCGAGTTGAGTGAAGGAAGTGCTCTCACTAGTTTTCTAGTTGAGCTGCAATCCCCTAAATTTTCTGAAGAATGCACACTTGGCTTTGGATCAAGCACAGGTCCATCCAAGGTTGCCCGCCCTTTTCACCTTGGCCCAGCGGCAGAGGGGACGCATGTCAACTTCCAAAGGCTCGGCATTGGCTAATCCGCTGAGCTTGTGATGGTCCACAATTGAGTGGATCCGAGTCTTTTGGATACCCTCAGGACCAAAAAGCTGGACGGCGTTTTTTCGGCGCTTGAGTTGCGTGGGGGCCACTTTTGGGGGCAAAGATTGGTGGAGTTGTGCCATTGCATTACGGCGACGAGATTGATGGTTACAGTGGTGTTAAAGTGTTTTAAAATGATTTTAGGGATTAGATGCACACCACCTTCTGTGGATGATGAATTTTAGAGTAGTGATTGATGCCACCTTCTGTGGATGCATATGGATGCCCAAGTCTGGAACCAGCCTCCAAGCAATGCTCATTCTTGAGGGGATGGATGGCCCTAGGGTCCTAGGGGCGACCCTTTAAGCGGGTCAACCCTGAGAACCAGCACTGCAATCGGAGGGGGAAGTGGTGGGACCACCTCAAACACAGGAAACCAACAATGGGAAGGGCTTTTCATGCTTCTTCCGTCATCTGATACTTCTGGTCTTATGGTGAGTGGACCCCTCCTCAAGCTCAAAGACTCCCTGTCGGACCAAAACGGACACCGCGTGCCTCCGGAAGCTCTTCCGGGTTGTTGGTGTCAACCACGGCCACCTCCTTCGAGAGCTCCGGCAACAGGGGCGGCACCGGCACCTCCAAGGCCTCTCCAGCCCGTCCGTGGATCGGAGTTGCTGCGTTGGCTGGGTTGCTGGGGGTTCGATGGAGAGCCCGTCCGTGGGTTGGTGGGTTTTTCCACTGGTCGATCGGATGGGAGCAGAAAGAGCCGCTGCCAGCCGTGAGACATGGACAGTTCTGCGCCAGGGCTTCCGCATGCTTCCACGTGTCACGAAAGGCATGCGAAGGCAATGCCTTCGTCGAGGGGCACCCCGTCCGATGGCCACTGTGTCCGCCAAGCGGCTGATGGCGGTTGCATCGTTCAGTCTCCCCAAAACATGAGATGTTGCCAAGCCAGGGCTGAAATACTTTGAAGTCTGAAGTTTAGAGTTTAGAGTTTAGACATTTTAGATCATTTTAGACCTCTGAGTGCCACACAAACATATACCAACGATGCACCCGGATTTCATCCGCTGAATCTTTCGAGATACTCTGCCAAAAGATCTTGCCACTCCATGATTTATTGTCTACTTATAGGTCTTCCACAACCTTGTGACATAGAACACTTCTCCCACCAAATACTCGGTTCCAAGACGCAAAGGATTGAAGAAGCCCATGCATATCATGAGTAGGTGTCTCTTGGAGCTGGTGAAGCTAAATACTCTGCTGGCTTTGGCAGCTCAAGACCATTTTAAAGCTCTAGATGCTCTAGGATTGGGAAGATCTGAGGGACATGCGTGTGACTGCCACAGCGCGCTGACTCACTCAACCCACTCACCTCCCACTTCTTCCCACCTCTCCTCCCCTCTCACCGTGCCCAGTCACCGTCCCGCCTTCAGCACGAACTCCGTCTCTGGGTTCAGCTCCCCAAGGCGATAGGCCTGCGCCGAGATGTTCCGGGCGTTCAACTCCCAGGCGTAGACCTGGGCGATTTCGCAGGGAGGCCGAGGTCTAACGTGAAACTGGATCTCTGATTCCCTTTCTTCTTCGATTGGCTTGGCAGATGGAGCATAGCACAGATCAAGACGGAATTGTTCAGCACATGTTCTGCATGTTCCATCTATCAATGCCACCCAAGCCAGAGGGGATTCCGCGCCAGTTGGGCCGGAGCGGGTTCGCCGAGCCAAGCAGCGATGGCTGCAGTCACCGTGTCCGTGTCGGGGACCTGTAGTGCACCGCGAGCGGCGCGTCACGGCGCAGCGGGCGGAACGACGTTCGACCTGGATGCTGGCGCACCGTCACGACGTGCACCATGGTGCCACCACTGCACAGGTGTCCAAAAAGGTTCCACTCATGTCATGTTGCACCTTCTGCCGCACCTTCCTGTGCATTGCTACAGGTTGCCTGGGCAGGGGTTCCAGGTGCAGCTCGCTGCTCCCCCTGTGTCCGCCCTACCGCCTTGTGGCCGAAGACCGACAACGAGGCTGCAGCAGTGGCTGGCAGCAGGGCGCACCACTTCAAAAGGCCCATGGGCCGACCAAGCGATCGCCACGACCAAGCGATCTGGCTGCCGGTCGTGGGTCAAAACTGAGCCAAGCTGGCGATGGGGGATGGCACACATGCACATGTCACACCACCGCTTCGTGTTGGCTGGCAATCCGGGACTTCCCCGAAAAAAGGCGCAGTGAAATCGGGGAGATGGCTGCGAGGAATGGTAAGATCCGGGCTCACGTTTATGTTTCTTCATCAGCCTTCCACATGAACGAAGCCTTCAACATAGACAGCATCACTTGGAGCGTGGACAGCTGGGAGACGTGGACATCATCACGACTGGTCACCGGTCACCTGAAGCCGCCCACATTTGACCTAAGACGACTCACCCTGACCTGCTCTAGCACGAGCCCGCAGGTTAGGGCTCCGAAGCTGGAGGCTTCTCGGAATGGACGCTAAACAAAATTCCTCGGTGATGCTTCTCCGGCGAAATTGATGCCTGGTTGTGGCGGACGAGCTCCGGCCCACCACAGCACCCGTATCTGAGCTCCCCTGCCATCTCGCCGCCCAATGTTGGAAACAGCGGGGGGCGGTGGAGCCAAGGGCTAAAGCATGCTAAAGCCGGTGAACAAGACCTCTCACATCCCTTCAACCATTGCAATCCTTCGTGCAATCCTGCAAGGTGTATTGATTGGGCCACTGTAGTCTGAGATACATCTCCTGTTCTACCGAAACCGGGCCAGCAGGCCAACCAGGCAAGCTCACCTTTTGAGCGGAATGGGAAGCAGGAGCGGCAACGACACTTGGCGTTCGTGGCTCCAGAGTAGGCGAGGATTGGGGGTGGTTGGTCGAGGATCTCGGACGAATTCTAGGAATGGCGAGTCATGAGTCATAAGTTTTGTGGATTGACAGCTGCCTGGGATTCGCCCAGATCCCTCAAACATGGGGAGAAGCTGTCAAGCTTGTGCAACTGCTTCTGCAAAGGTTTGTCGGGAGCCACGAAGCCTACAGCTACTCACACCAGCTAACAACGGCTTTGTACATGCCCCGAGCCGCCAGAGTTGGCACAGGCTTTGTCCCCCTCCGTCCGAATCCCAATGTTAACGAACCGGCCTGCTGCATTCTGTGGAACTGTGGTGGCGGTCCTGCTGCCACTGAGGCCTTCCTGTGGGTGACGGAAAGGGCTGTGCAACTCTCCGACCAATCAAAGGCCCAACTTCTCTCGAAGGCCATCTTCGTCCAATCCTCAGCTTTATATCAGCGCTGGGGTCTTGCAGCAACAGAGAGCTTCCCAAACAAAACGACTCACCTTTGCAGGGAGGAGTTGCAAAAAGTCTGAACAGGATGTTCATTTTCCTCTAGTGGGGTCACATCCTCCATTTCCACGCGAGATGCTGCGGCGCACATCTATCTCTCTCTCTCTCTCTCTGTCTCTCTCTCTATGTATGTATATATATATATATGTACATGTATATGTGCATATAAACCCCCACATGAATAAAGAAGTTGATCCCCACATTCAGGAGCTATTGGAAAGAGTGCCACTATCTATTTGGAGACGACTTTATTTAAAAAACAAGCATGCACCTCCATGCATAGAGCCCCCCCCGCACCATCACCCAGGTCAGCCGCTTCTTCGAGTCTGATGAGGCGCTACGAATCGATCCTTTTCGATGGGATGTGGATGAGACCCTGTGGACAGCGCCCTCTCTCTTCCAAAAAGACCCCAGATTCTTCCAAAGCTATTGCTAGATCTGGGTTTGGAGAGTAGGTTTGTGTATGCCCCTCTCTTCCCAAACCTAACTACTAAAATCAACAAAAACACATCCAATTGCTACATGAGATCGACCTAAGATCTAAGCGTGCCTAGCAAATCTGGCCTCTGCCCACATGAATGCTGTATCGATTCGATGGGTTGTGACATCCAGTGAAAACATCCATTCACAGCCATGCTGCGCGCTATCTTATTTTATTATCTCTTATTCATCTCATGCACTTTGGATAGGAAGATGACCAGAATCTACCTAGGTCATCGCACTTCTACAAACACGCCGCCTCCACGCCACCACGTCTCCGCCTCCTTAACAACGCCCCAAGCGGCGATAGACCTTCCCTGGCTGGAGCTCGGCTCCCGCAGCGTCGAACTGCCGCTTCATCCAGGGGTCGCAATAGGTGATCCACGCCTCGTGGAGCAGCTGCGAGGCCCGGATTGCTCCGATTTCCGACGAAGAGAGACCAGCGGATCCGGCAGAGTTCGGCGCTCCGAGAGTTCGGTGTTGCATTCCGGTGACGATTCGGACGATGAGCTTCTCAAAAAGCATCAGTCGGTCGATGACAAGGCATGTTGCGTGTTTGCCGGCCCAGTCCTGTGAGAGGGCTCGAGTTTCGCGGCTTGCTCCCTAAGACCACGCATTGACCAAGGGGCTGAATCAAGGACGCAGGTCACATCCTTGCACCTCGCGATCAACTGGGACTCCCCACATCGGATGCTCGAAGCATCATCTGAATCGCCAAGTCCTCCGTCTCCTGTGGCTTCACTTCGCGGTGTCTTTCTTCTGGCGGTCACGAGCCGTGACCGAAGACACAGGTTCCGAGTGGTGGATGAACGTTGCATGATGGTTGTTTTTCCACGGTTTTCCACCCATTTGCAGCCGTTTTGCGAGACCGACGCTCCTGGTCCACCGGCTCTTCCGGGCTTTCGGCGAGGTGAATCCCCAGCTGCTCCAGGCCTGGGGGAGGGGGCGGTGCTTCCGGAGGAGGCGGTGCGTTCGTCCGGGCCTGCAAAGACCCCAGGCAGGCCACGGGAAGCTGGAAGAGCTTCCCATGTTGAGGTCTCTTTGAGGCCAGGACTGGCAGAGTGAAGGTGTATGTACAAGGCATTGTAGGAGAGCATTGGGCATTGAGGTAGAAGGTGTAAAAGGTGTTCCCCTGAAAGCACGCAGGCTCAAACTCAATGTGCAACACCACAGTGGCGCGTTGGGCAACCGTGAGAACCGCAGCCCAGAGAGCAGCCACGCAGCCACCTCCCTGTGTCCAGGCGTCAACCGTGTGTGGACGGAAGGAGGCGTCGTTTCGCAAAGTGCTGTCAGCTTTTTCAACGAATTCAGCACGGAGTATTGAAGAACCAAAGGAGAGAAAATTGAAGAAGTTGCAAAGAACTGAGCTCTAAGCTGCCAGGGCAAAGGTCCAAGCAGAAAAAACGAGGAAGAGTTTAGCAAGGACAAGAAGCGTGTGCACACGTATGGTCAGTGATACACGTACAGGACAAAATAATCATAGATATTGAATACGGCAAAGGCGAGGAAAAAAAAAATCGAGGCCTGATGCGGGCCTGCCACTATAAATGTTTCAAAGCCAAACAAGGCAAGGATGGAAGAGAGCAAGTCACACGACTTGGAAACACATTGGCTGCGCACACCCAACAATGCAACAAATTGCTGCAACTCGGCCACAAACTGCAGATGGTCAATTCTGCAATCCTCCCATCTGCGGAATGAAGGCGATGCTCTTTTCATCTGCAACCCTTCAATTCCAAGCTGGCGGGTGACATGCCCCCAGTCGCCAATGCCAGCCCGGCGCAGCCGTTCTTCGGCGTACACCAATGTCTTCAATGCATAACTGAATTGTCCATCTGCGGCAAGCGGATGGGGCTTTATGCGCCAGCAGTTCTTGGCCTTTTTCTTCAGTGGAAGACGGCAAGCTCATGGCATTGCTGATAGAACGAATCAGTTCCATCAGCAATACCAGAAGCTTGCCGTCTTCAAATTTTGCCACAAACAAGTCTTGTACCTGTTCCGAGGCTCTCTTCTTGCTGGACAAGGATGTTTCCGCACCTCCCTCATCCAACGTCCCTTCGATGTTTGCCTCGGATTTTTGCTTCCTGCCTCTTCCTCCGCCTCCACATTCTTGGCAGGACATCTTGATTGAGATTCCTGCTTGGCTGTTCCTGAAAACTAGGCACAGATGTTGCGAGTGATCCATGTAAGAAGCCTACCCTCCCTGAAACAATCATGGAAGTGGAATACAGTGTTCATAGAGGAATTCAGTCTTCCAAGGGGCCATGTTCCACTTCCATGTCCATGTTTGTTGGATGGAGGGTAACCTTATGTCATCTTTCCTGTTCAACAGCATGCACGACCGCAATTGACTACACGTCCCTGGGTCGGGCGGAAAAGATAAGTGCCTGGGGCCTTCTGTTGGGCATCTGGGAGTCTCAGGAAGTCCCTGGCATCGGGGGGGGCTTCCTACAGACGTGCTGACAATGAGAATACAAGCGCAGTAGATGCAAACCCAATTTGCCGGGGGAATCGCGCCCACAAAGCGGACCACTTGCAGCTGTTGCTCTTACCACCCAGGCCACATGTATCAAGTTCAAGTCGAAGTAAGGGGGCAATCCAGGACCCACCCAGTAGTGACCGACCAGCGAAGAGGAATCCGACCCCCGGAAGAAGCACCGCATTCGCCGTCCGGAGGCGTCCGGATACGTGTCAGAAGAGCGGCCTCCTTCGATGCCTTTCCAGTCGGCCTTGCTATAGACCACGAGGCCTCATTGCGGGGAACGCACGGAACGACCGCATGACGCGGGGGAGGCGGCTCCGCCTCGCCCTCTTCACTCCTCCGCCCTCTTGACCGACTCCAAAGGTTGGAGTTAGGCCAACAGAAAGACTTCAAAGCTGCCAGGTCTTCCATGTCTTTGGTGGACCGGAAAACCCAGAAACAGACTCCCTGCTTTCTCCAGAAATCGGGCCAAGTCTGACTGAGGCCCCCAGGCACAGGTATTCCTTGGGATCGTCCGTTCCATCCATCGGGTCCAGCCTCAAAGCAGACACCGGCAGCAACCAAAGCACTTGCATGTCTGATTTGCACAGAACTGTGCAATGAACTGCTTTGTTTCACCCTTCTTTTTGCACAGCCGTGGTCTTGCCCTCTCTTCGTGTTGCCTCGTTTTCTTTTGTATGGAGTTGGAGTGCCCATGCTTTTCCGCCCACTTCGTGGCAGGTCGGCCCGGTGAAACCCACAGTGCCACGCCACCCGCTCAACACTCGCCGCTCCAGGCCGTGGAGGATGCCGAGAGTATTTGGGCTCCCCTGGCCCGGTGTAGTAGAAGTGAAACCGGAGCTCCTCCTGGAGCGGACGAATCGACTGGGCGCCAAGGTAGCCAAGGTAAGACGAAGCCTAAAAAGACCAAGAGAATAAATCAGATCATTCGTCTGAATTATAGGTGTATTTATCATTCTTTACATTAGGCTCTTAGTATATACGATGATATAATCTTCAGCTCATGGCACGGTGTTGCCAAGCTCGTGTGAGCAGTGCGTCAAGTCAATCCCTAAGAATGCCAAGTTCTGCAATAACCTCCTCGGTTACAAATGGAACCTCATCGAGTGCTTCCAGCCCTGCATCACCAAGATGGATGGCAAAAGCACCAGAGTATATGACTGCAGCTTAATAATTGAATGTCTGAAAGACACAGCTTCTGTGTCTGAAAAAAAGTTGTTGTTCTCCCTGAAACATCATGCAGTGATTGCCGTGTAGAAGGCTCCTGCAACTTGATCACTTCCAGGTATTGCTCCTCACCCACGCACACCGCGCGGGAATAGAGCTCCCGAGGCCACATGTTGCTGGCGGAGACGGGGCCGCTGTTTTGGGCTGCCCAAACGCGAGTCGGGTGGGGGAGAGACCTGAAGCTGGTCGTGGATGGTCATGGTCACCCAAGGTATAAAGGTCTAGGAGGGAAGAAAATGCTTTGGGATAGACCAACCCCAACCACGCCGCACCAGGTAGAGAAATGGACCAACAACTCCAGAACCCTGAGGCTTCAAGTGTTTGGACCCAAAGCAGTCGCCACATGTCGCCAGCTTCGCTCGACTCCTGTTGTTGTGGGCACCTCTACGGCACACCTTGAAACCGACTCTGCACGGGCTGGGGGAGGTTGCGTCCGGGTTCCCTAAGAAGTATACCCTGACATCGGTATCCCCGAAGTATACACTGGCAGTCCAAGACCTTTTAACATTGCTCTTGAGGTGGCCGGCAGTCCAAGATCCTTGAAATTGATGGCGCGCCAAAGAGGAGGTTTTGGGCGTCGGATTGCAGTGGCTGATGGGTGGCAAGCCTCCCCGTTGCCTTGACCGGAATGCCAGCGCAGACGGCTCCCGCCTCAAGCCGTGGTAGTCCATCATGTCGCCTTAACCATCAGGATCGGAGTCAGGGCTCCGTGGCTGAGGAGACATGAAGTAGACACAGTGAACTGCTCATGGCCTCAATGGCCTCCACGTCCCTCACAGTTGAGCCTGGACTCTTTGGGGACCATGCTTGCGAAGATGACGAAGTCCCACCCACCCTCTTTGGGAAACGGCGGGAACGCCTTCCACATCCTTCAAACGTCCACCCACCATCCGTCGCCAAGCCACGTGGGTGGACACTGACGGCTGCCTTGGAGCCATCCTTTCCAGGCACCTGGAAAGAGCGAAGAACGCCCCTCCAAGAAATGATCGGAATCTGACTGGGCGCTTTGGTAGTAGGGAAATGCCCAATGGATCCAAAGGAAACTTTTGGGGGGGCTCATTCCCTCATTCCCTACTGAGCACCAGTCAGTAATCAAAAGCCAAGTCAAAGCCGAGCCCAAGTATTGAACACCCGTCCGCTTCTCTTGCACATCGATTTATCCAGCCTCCCAGTCTTCGCACAGATAGAAACTCCCGGGGAGCCCGCACAGATGAGCGCATCTCATATCCCTCTCGTTGGATGGGCACACAGAGCAGGGAACCAGACTCAGATATAATTGCTTTTATGGTTTGTCGCCCTCTCTTCAAACCCCACGAGGGTGGACTTACTTCCTCCACCGTTGGATGTCCGGACACCGGGAGGCTCCGGGCTCCGGCGGTGACCGGGACCGGACCGACCCGCAGGTGGCCTCCCAATCTTCCACAGGGCCGCCGCTCCAGATTTGCGCCTCCTGGAGACCGCAGGAGGCCCAAGATCTGGGAGCCTTTGGCTGTGGGGAGCCAGACCTCGCTTGGCCTACCGACGTCAGGTGGTTCGCTACATGCAAATCTGTCTTTGACAGTTAGGGCAACTCTTTCACTCCACAAACGCCCAACAGGACATCCTTCATGATCTTCATGTCCACCACGATTCAACCAGTGAAGCGGAAAAACTAAAAAATCAGAACTAGAAACCCCCAGCCAGCATCGCCTCCAGCTCCTTCGCACCTCTCTTTCCGCTGGACCGGTCTCGTTCGCTTCCAACTTGAGAAGGAACGGGCGAAAGAAAATTCGGTCGATCAGTCGATCAGTCAAGTCCAGTCCGATACTCCCAGTCCTTCCACTTGGTCATGTCATACTCAAACTCCACCATGGCCGCCTCGTGGAAAACAGACGGGAGAAAATAGGGTGGCCTACGCATGGCCTGTCACCGAGCTGCGTGCTTTATCTTGTTTTTGTGGGCTTTGGAGCCTGGAGCCTGAACAGCCTCTCCCTGCTTGTATGCAGTTGAATCCAATTGCCAATTGGCCCTTTGGTCCTGCGGTGCGAAAATTTGCATCCGAGAATCCGGAAGATTGCCTGTCCTGGACGATCCCTGCTAAGGGTTTTGCCTTTCGTGGTTCGGCATGCTTCAGTAGGGGTTTCCTTTTTCATCATGTTCAACCAAATGAGCTCAGGCGGCTAAGGGTCTAAGAGTGCGCTGAAGCAGGGTCGAGTGTTCGTATCTACTTACTTGACCCTACTTGTATCACCTTTTATCATCTGTTATCCTGCACTTCATCCAGGAAATCGACCATCCACTTTAAAGAGCAGGACACATTCTCCCGACTGGTGCAGGAGCACTGAAGCCACCTAATGGGCAAACATCTCCAGAAACATGTTGCGCGTGGCGTATATCAGGCCTACAGGCCACAACATGCCACAACTAGAGTGCTATACTATATACATAGTGCTGCAGCTGGTGATGCACGGCAAACCACCCAGCTGGGGCAGATAAGCTGTAGGGATGTAACGGCACCACGGCCGCTTTCATGTTGCACAGCCCTGGTCCCAACCCACAGCAGCCTGGATGGGATGGATTCACGCCCGCACCCCTCACTGCCACCGCATTCGGGGCCCGACCATCACCTTGAGCCGCCCAAGGGCTTGGAAGAGCAAAACCGTTCCCGGACGGGCGCTGCCTGGGGCACCTCCAGATGGCCCCTGTTGACACAAGTGCCGGCGGAACAGAGACAGAGGGAGTAGGCAGTCTTGGGGCCTTGGGGGGACTATGCTCAAGAAAAGCAATTCGCCGGGGCATCAAAGCAGTCCAACTGTCGGTATACCGGTATACCTCCACTTCTGCACTGGCTTCAGGCCTTCACATGACTTCGGGCCACCAGCCTCATCTTCCCTCCCTGAGCAGCACTTTTCCGAGGTGTTCTTCGCTCGCCCTCAAATCAGCACCACCCGACCGGAATGGAAGGGTAGAAACTCCCACCTGGCCGGACGGCTCGGCTCGAAGGCCACTCGTAAGGCTCGGCTCGGCTCGGCTACTACTCGGTGCAGCTTGGAGACCACCCAACACTGGGCCGCTGGGCGGTGGGAATGTGTGAGAACAGGATGAATCCCGGATTTCCTGGATCTTGGAGTCAAACCAAGCCCTCCATCCCCCCCTCCACCACGGAGCGAGGTGCCAACACATGCCGGCGGAACGGGATGAGGAAGGGCCTGGCACCACCGTTGGGTGGATTTTCTTTGACTCTTCCAGAGTCTGGCTGGGTCTCTAATTTTGAGCCACCCCTGTACTATATCACAAAAGTGAACGGATGCTGGATGAGAGTGCTGCATCCAATCAACAACCACGACGACTAAAGGGGATTCACTGGATAAAGGTCCTCTATGGTCTATTGACACGATCTGGGTTCGAGAGTATATTTACTGAGTTCCCAGAGGCTCGGAAGCAATTCGCATCACTATGTGCCCTTCTTTTGAGAATCATGACGCCAGTCCGCAGCCCGCAGCCCTGATCCATGCGGTCCGCAGCCCGGGCGCCCCCGCGCGCGCGCCAGGCGCGCTTGCTGCTCTTCCGACAGTCCCACAGGGACGCCAGTGACCTGACTCGGAGCTCCGGTGAGGTGCAGACTTTACTTGAAGGACCGGAGGTGATGGAAGCCTTCCTGCCTCCCTGAGCCGGACAGTTCTGCACACTCACCGGCCGTTGACTGCCCGGCGGCCGAGGCACGGCGATCCGCGGCGCCCTTTTTCGGCGGAAGAGGCCGAAGTGCCGAAGGGCTTCGCTGTGCCAGAGCCTCGGGCGTTTCGGGGGCATGCCCCAGGTCATGGAGAACAGATCGGTTTTGGTGGGGTCAGGTGCTGGAGGGGCATTTGGTTGCGGTTGTGCCTTCCAACTTCTGGATGAGGCATCATAAGGCTCCGCTGCAGCCCAGAAGAAGCCGAGCATTTGATGGTCAGGTCGCCCTTGGTGGCTTATGTTGGTATCGCGGCATTCATTTTCGACTCCCCCGGGGATGTACACTGGTAGTAGGTGGCAGTTCGGCCGTATGCCGCATGGCGACTTGGCTTGGCACCCGTCAAGGCTTCACGCAAACCGGGAGAGATTGGTGTCATACCTTGGCCTTCACCAACCACTCACCATGCCCAAACCACCAGCGGCAAGCTAACCACCGGCCACCCTTCCAGCCACTATCCGACCATGACCGGGCGTGGTCTTTTTTCGGCCACCCGCCACCCGAAGCGGCACTGGTCTGATTTTGCTCATCGCTTCACGCCACGTCTTTGCTTCCAGACCTCTTCCATCCCTTTGAAGGAGACGCCGACCCAACTAGCAAACTCCTGGCAGGGCAGGTGCTGGAACTCGAAACCCGGCAAACGATTGCAAAAACACAACCGTCACCAAGCAAAAGTCCAAGACTTATATATATATTCATATATGTTTTTTACATATCTCCCACACCGCACCCCGGCCCAGCCTGACACTCCCGATCCTCCTCTTCATCCTCGGCACCGCCACCCCTCCCATGACTCCACGGCGCCGGCAGCTCGTAGGCGGCGCTCTCGTAGGCGGCCACCAGGTGCTTGGCCACGTCGGTGGCCACCGCCGTGCAGCGCTCGCCCTGTAGGGCCCACTTGTCGGGATGCCACTTCCTAGCGCCGGTCGAGCAGAGAGGTCGAGCAGCGACCGAGATGACCCGGGCTTTTCGCAGCGACCGAGACCGTCTTCAGACCGTGGGAAACAGCGGGCTGAAAGGGAAGAAACAGATGGTGGTGGTGGAGCATCCTGGGTTCAAAGAAGATCATCTTCCCAAAGAGCCAAAGAAACATGGAGCAATGAAGCAAGGGCGTGACAAACCGCAAGGGGGTGCTAAGGTACATTAAGGTACTGTTGGTGGCCGTGAGGTTTGGGCTGACCTACAGGCTGGCAAACTGATTCGCTCCAAACCTGTTGACAAGTGATTTGCTCCAACCTGGCTCCCACCTGGCTCAACAAAGTTTGGCCTGTTCCGTCCTGGCCAGCATCAAGTAGGTCTTTCGCGCGGCGCGGCGATCAGTGTGCTGCCCCAGCCATGCTTCGCAGCTGGGCCGGCTGCGTGAAGGCGGAGGCCCCTCCAGCAGCTCCAGGAGTTTTCGAGGGTTTTCCTGTTCGAAACGCCAACACGCCAGCTGAGACAGAATGTTTTGAAGAATCTCATCGACATGTTGAGATGGATGGGGTTTTCGAAACACTCTTGAACATTACACTGCGCATCCCTCTCCCCAATGACCCCAGAACTCAACTGCCACACCGCGCAAACTAAATTCTCCAAATGTGCTTTTTTGGTCATGCCCGTCATGCCCTCTCCTCCCAATCCATGTGGTGTGTAGCCAGCCCTTGGCACATCTGCTCGACAGTGCAGACCCTCTCACGGAAATCCTTCAGCTGCTGCTCTTTCAGCAGCTCCTTTTGCTGTTCCTTCTGCTTCCGTGCCTCCTCTGCCGCCTTGAGAGCTTGACTTAGCGGAGTCGAGTGGCCCACTGCGACCGAAACGTGGTCTAGGTTGCTTCAACCTAGCAACTGTAGTTCCCTGCTTGGCAGTGAGGATGCTCCGGATCTGTACATAGCAACGGTGGGTGTCGGCAGAAAGTATAGAATCGCCGTGCGCATCTTTCACCTGGGGTATACTGTTGATCCCTAGTGTTCTGTACACACATATAACATAACTGTAACATAACATACATGTTCGATTTCTATCGGTTCTTGTTGGCGTGTGTCCATGCCGTTCAGGTGCCAACTCTGTTTTTGCCAAACCCTGACACGTGGTCACAGTCATCAGCTTTGAGATCAACGGTGGCCTTGAACCTCAAGCACACACACACACACACACACAGACAGGTCCTGTGAACTCGTATCAACATCTTGAACCTGCTTCCACCCCAGCCACCGGCCACATCACCCGCCCTCCCCAGGGCCCCGCAGCGCCCCGCAGCCTGCCGCTTCCGCTCCTCCGTCTTCCGACGATGCTCCTCCTCCAGGCGTTCCTGCGCCACGCGCTGGCGCCACTGCTGGGCTCTCAGCCGCCCCAGGCGACCGCGGAAGAATGCCTGGATTCGCACGGCCGCCGCCACCTCTCCAGGGGGCTGGGAAGCTCGAGCCCACGGGCCCTTCGGTGCCGCATCCGGCTGACTGGAAAGCAACAGACGATCCTGCCGGCTCCACCATTCTTCCACTAAAACCGGCCCAGCGGGCTCGTTTCCACGCATGCGGTTGTGAGCGTTTTCTGGAGCTGTGCTTCTTTCATCTTCTCTCAAGTCTCAAGCTGATGAATGTGCTGTGGGCCACCCATCGCCCGACAGTTCAGCAACGAAACCTGGATCAGAGACAGACTGGGGATCAGGGAACGGGAGCAGCTCCATCAATGTGTGCATCTAAGTTGGAACGCCCCACGCCCCGCCGTCTCCCCAAGGCCTTCGGATCCACGGCGCCCGACCGCGCCGGCGGCGCTCGCGCGCCGCGCGGAGCCGACCGCGCCGGGCGTCCGGAGGCGCTCCGGCGCGGGGGCTTCGGGGGGGCCTTCGGCATGGCATGGCCACCCAACCAGCGGCGGGTGGCCGGTCTGAAGGCAGTTGGCTGGGGGCGGCGTGGCTGGGAAGCTCGGCTGTGGCGGGTTGGTGTCGGAAGTCTTCTGAGAAGATGGTGACCAGTGACCATGCACCGTCTTCGGGTTGTACTCTGTTCGGCAGGACCTGGATGGAAATCTCACAGCTGTGTGGTCAACACACGTCGCTTGGAGAAACACCTGGTTCTGGGATTTTGCGGGAGCAGAAAGATGTGAATCAGTTCCTACAATTGGCTTTTGGCACAATCTGCTTTGGCTGGAAATGATCGCGGTGCATCAGTGGCGCCCCGGTTCGATCAACGAAACGACCCTTTCTTGTGTACTGTATACATTATTGGCGCAAATATCTCGATTTTTATGGAAGTCTGAATGCAGTGGGTGCAAAATCCACTACACAAAGCTGGACAAACAGCGCAGCATGTTTTCCAGCGCAAGCTAAAGTGAAAAGCGAGGCTCTGTGCGCACCTGATCCGTAAGGGATGGCGAGCATTCATGACATGCGCTCATGAACTGGTGGTCGAAACTTCACACTCCCAATACTCTGTTGGCATGAATGCTTATTGGGATGCTTCGCCACTTCCCTCAACTGGATCCACGGGTGCCGAAGCCACTCCATGAAACGCTCGATGAGCTTGTCGCTCAATTTGGTGAGCGTGTCAGCCCACTGGAGATCCGTCGGGACCCAAAACACGTCTGGACGACCAAGGTGTTGTTGGATGGCCCTGATGACAACGATCGTGCGTTTGTCTTCTGTCTTGGGGTTCTCCGAAATCAGCACGTCGTATAAGCTACGGCAGTCCGTAACACCAATGGTTCGAAGGGTCCGCTCCAGCTTGAAGGCCTTTTCACGGAACATGACTTCTGACAGCAAGTAAGCCATGTACGAGGCGCGGTCGATGGCCATGTCGCATGCGCTTGCTTCTGCAGACAATGTCGACCGGCAAACTCGAGTCGACCTTGAACTCTTCCAGTCAACCAACAGCCCGGTGCTCACTGCATCGGTGCATTGCGGCTCAGCCAAAAGGATCAATGAGCCGTGCTGTGAGGAAGAGCCTTCTGCGTTGGCCCATGAGCTATCGCTGTAAGCCACCACCAGCGTCTGCGGTGAAATCTTCACCGGCCACATGCAGATGCCATCGGACTTCGTGGCATGCAAATGCTCAACTGCACGGTACAGGTGGTGAAGGTCCTCGTAAGTCGACTTTGTGCCCTTGCTGCGTAGCGACACGATGCTTGCCACATCCGGCCTTGTTTGGCCTGCCACCCATTGGAGTGAACCTCCAACCGACCTCAGCTCCGGCATGTCCTGAGGTTCAACCAGCTCTGCAAATCGCTTCTTGCATTGAACTGTGCCTGTTGCAATGCTCTCGATAAAGCTGGCTTGAGACAGCTTCAGAAAAGTTCGGCCATCATCACTCTGGTGCAAACTGATCTGCTTGCCCTTGAATGTCAGGGGGTTGCTCAATGTCAACTCTTCTTGCGATCCCCATCGAAACAAATCTGTCAACTCTGAGCGGTTCCAGCGGCTGTCGTGGCACAACAGAAAATCATCAACATATGCCACCATCAATGCAACCAATGTTTCACGCTCTTGACCGGGCAACTTGCTGTACTTGTAAAAACACATGCGGTCGAGGCTGTGCTGTGTGAAGCCTGCTTCCTCAGTGACTTTCTTCACAACGTGGAGTCCCCAAGTTCGTGGTGCATTGGAGAGCCCATAGATGTTGCCGTTCACCAAGTAGAGCTTGGACTTGAAGGTTCCAGCTCTGGCGGTCACGCCATCTTGTGGCGGCATGAGGTACAGCGGCTGGCTTCTCTTCTCTGGGGTGCCTTGAAGGAAGGCGGTTTTGACGTCTCCTCCCCAGAGACACCATTTTGCACTGCCATCCATGAACATCATGTTGAGGCCGCTAACAAAGACAGCGTAAACAAGATATTCGCACTGCCTGGTGGGTGTAGCTGACTCACGGCTCAACTCATGGAGATCTGGGTCACAGTGGCCGAGTGCTACCACTCTACACTTCGCACGAAGTGGTGGGACACCTTTTGACTTGTCCCTGTATGCTGCTCTCGCTCGGAGGATGCGTTTGCGCAGCTGGGGATCAGACATGATCCTGTCGGCCTCCTTGTCATCGAGAGGGATGACGGAGTTGAACTGCTTCCAGGATGTTTCCTCGGCTTGAGCACTCTCGATGAACTTGGCAATGTTTTCTTGGCTCATCTGGAGGATTGCCTGCCAAGGTATCTCCTTGTCATATGCTTTGTGCTCCTGTCTTGTCATCTTCCTGTCATTGGCCGAGGATGGCTTGGAAGGTGTGCCGAGGTGTCCTTGTGTCATGTCATCGGCCGATGCCTCGGAGTCTGATGACTCGCCGGTGCCCATGTAGTCGGCAGTGGCCCTGTAGGCTCTGAAGGCGTGCTTCTGTGGCCATGGAAGTGCGACGTGTTCTGTGCCGTCACTGTGGTTTTGCTTCAGCTGTATGCCATCTGGAGTGACCTCCAGGCTGCTGATGTGTGCTGGGTGCTGTGGCTCATACCGAAGCTCTGTGATGTGGTCTTCTGGAGAATTGCGGATGATCTGGTTGTCATCCTCATCGTCATAAGGCTTGTCCCAAATGACGGTGCCGTGTGGGTAAGTGAGTACCCTGCGGTGCCGGATCCGGTTCTTCGGCGGACCAGCGTAGTGCGTGGTTTGCAATGCATGTGAGGCGATGTCTCGCCTGGCCCAAACCTTGAGGTTACCTGAGGTTCGAGCGATCTTTTGGTATCCTTGCAGGTGGTAGCTGTTGTCACCAATCTGCAGCTGCCGTGTGTGTTTTGCTATCAATGCTCTGTATGCTGAAGGTTGTTCCGGCAGTGGTTGTGTCATCTCACTGCTGCTTCTCTTGCCACCGAGTTCAGGTGGCGTGGAAGGTGCAACCTGTGTCAGCGGGTTGTCAGGAAGTGATTCGATGTCAATCACCTCTGATGTTGTAGTCCTTGGCTGCATGGCGGAAGCTGTTGCTTCGGCCTGTCCTGGTTGTGATCCATGAAGTGGAGTGCCAGGATGTGCAAGGCTCGGTGTTCTGGAAGCTGGTTTATCTTCCAGTGCTGGTGTTGTAGGTCCTGCTTCAAGTACTTTGGTCCTCGGTGTACGGGACCGGTGTTGTTTGCGTACCGGCACGTTGACCGCCGGTTCCATCCATTGTTCAGGTGTCATCCCAAAGGGGTTCTGGCCTGTGTGGATGACTGTCTGTCGGTATGTCGGTGAGTTCACGTTCAGGTGATATTCCACCTGAGGTGCTTGCTGGTATGGGTCTGTCTGTACTGCCTCTTCTGCCTGCTCTGCTGCAGCTGTCTGTGGTTGCGCTGCCGCTGCGGGCTGTGGCTGAGTGGCTGGTACTATAAAAGGTAAGGATGAGAGCGGTAGATCCAGTGCTGGCTCGATTGGGTCTTGTCCCAAGGGCTGCTCTGGGTCTTCCGGTGGTTCTGGTATGGTTTCGTCTTGGATCTGGTTCTCCTGCAGGTTCTCGGATGCCTGCCGGAGTTGCTTGATCTGGCCGTAGTCAGGGTTCCATTGTTCGAAGCCCCGGGCAATGCGCAGCTGGTGTGGTGCTACGCGGACCGTGTTGGTCCCGGCTTGTAGCCAAAAGCTCTTGCCATCCGGGTCTCGGCCTAAGAGGCGGGCCAGTTTGTAGCCACCCCTTTTACGGCCGCTCTTGGCGGTCCACCGCCAGTAGGCCACGGTGGATCCGATCTCTGGAATGTCTCCAGAGTCTGGTGCTGTGTTCTTCAAGAGTGCTCTCCTGAAGGTGCTGTCGATGGCCATGGCTGCAATCTGCTGTTGTGCTTCTGCCCGGATGCTGTCTGCAAATTGTTGCGCTTGTGCTTGTGTATGCCCAGTGACCAGGCCATGTGCGTCACTGAGCAGGTTGATCCCTTGTCTCGGGATTCTGCCGAAGGCTGCTACGTAAGGTGGTCTGCCGGTTGACCATGTGCAGCTGTTCTTGGCGTAGGCTGTCATGGCAGTGACGACCTGCATTTGGTCTCTGCCTGTGATGCCGTGGTAGTCAATGATTCTTTCCATGATGGTGCGGTATGTGTGGTTGTGTCGTTCGATCAGTCCGATCTTGTGGTGTGCTTCGGCGGGGACGTAGTCCATGTAGACTCCAGCTTCTTCCATGTCCCGCTCAAAGCTTGAGCGGAAGCTGCCGTCAGGGTCGGTTCGTAACCGAAGTGGATAGCCAAAGCTGCGGCACCATCCAAGTTGGAACTGTTCTGACACGTGCTCTGGTGTCCTGTTGTCCAGCAAAATGCCGATGTGAAGGTGTGTTGCTTCATCAATGACACCGAGCATCATGTAGTTGGTGGACTTGATGTCTCTGACATAGATGATGTCCATCTGAAGTCGATCTCCAAACTGGGAAGCTCCGTCTTCATTCTGGAGTTGTCCTCCAGGAACTGGTCGTGGCAGTGGTCTGGTGCGTTCGCAGCTGTTGCACTTCATGTGGTCCAAGGCTGAGTACACGGCTTGGTTGCGAACTCCGTTCATCGCAAGGAGCTTCTTCAACTCGGGCGTGCTTGGGTGGCCCAAGTTCTTGTGGAGTCGTCGTAGTGCTAGTTTTATCTCTGGGGAGATCTTGGCGTCTGATGCAAACTGGATCT